GTGTGTGTGTGTGTGTGTGTGTGTGTGTGTGTGTGTGTGTGTGTGTGTGATAAAACATATAAAAATAATAGATTCACCATTTTTAAGTATACAGTTCGGGGGCATTAAATACGTATCTTTAAAGGTATTCTTCACATTTAAATGGCATTGGTCGTGCTTCCTTGGGGCACAGCGACTGGATGACATAGACACGACTAGAGCCGAAAGTAGAAGTTCCCCCAACCTCACCACCCTCTTCAGAAGGAACAGCTGTTTTCAGCATGTGTAGCCTTGCCGTGTGGACCATCGTGCACACACCTGTCCACACGTACAGGTGTACATGCTTTAGCTGACAGTTTTGTTTTTTGATGGTACGCAGACTCCTTGATGGGTTACCTGATTGCAACTTGCTTTTTCACGTGCCGTCTGCGCCTGGTCTAAGGGGGCGTCCAGACCTCGCGGAGGACGCCGTTTGACGTCCGGGCTGTCGGCGGTGCTGCTGCTCCTTGGTCAGCTGCCTGGGCCTCACGTGTTTGCGCCCTCCTTCCTGACACCTTGTTCCACACCCCTGCCTCCGGCCTCTCACAGCCTGCTCTCACATCGGGCAGCCCCAAAAGACCTGAGTTACTTCTGACCCCTGGGGAGTCTCCGTCTCTAGTATTTTCCTTTCATTTTTATTGTTTTAGGTTTATTTGTGAGAGAGAGAGAAAGCACAAGAGGTGGGGGGAGGGGGGGAGCGGTGCAGAGAGAGAGAGAGAAAGAATCCCAAGCAAGCTCTGTGCCATCGGCACAGGGCTCGAACTCACGAAAATGTGAGATCATGACGTGAGCTGAAAGCAAGAGTCAGATGCTTAACTGACTGAACCACCCAGGCGCCCCTTCGTTTGTTTATTATTAAAAAAAATTTTTTTAATGTTTATTCAGTTTTGAGAGACGGAGTATGAGGGGGGAGGGGCAGAGAGAGAGGGAGACGCAGCATCCGAAGCAGGCTCGAGGCTCCGAGCTGTCAGTGCAGAGCCCGACATGGGGCTCGAACCCACGGATTGTGAGACCGTGACCTGAGCCAAAGTCGGATGCCCAACCGACTGAACCACCCAGGCACCCCCTCCAGTATTTACCTTTCAAACAAAGATAGCAGCCTGAGGTTGGAGGGGGTGAAGGCAAGAGGAAGGTGGTGTTGACCTGCAGGCAGGAGCTGACGCTGTAGGGAGCAGTTCGGCCCTCGGGCCACCCCTGAAATCACACTGCTGGCCTTGAGCTGGCCCTGAGCCCGGAAGCCGGCTTGCGTGGCCCAGGGCCCTCCCACTGCATACCCTGGCTGGGTAAGTGGCAGAATCTTTGCTGTCAGCAGGGAGGGCCCCATATCTCCACATTCCTCTCGCAGCTCAGGCTCTGGGTCCCTGGGAGATGAGCCCTTGGTGACACCTGAGCTTGCGGCATTTGGGAAACACAGGCGTGAGGTGCAGAAGGCTTTCCTCTGGGGCACACGTGGTGTGCTGGCTTTATGAGAGGATGAACCCCAAAGCCTTCTGATTTGTGACTCTGATGTGAGCCTTTCCATTCTCTTGGTTCCTTTCACTGTGCTTGCTCTTGCCCTGGGCTAATCTCCTGAGGCTGTGAGGCTTCTATTTTCTCCTGTCCCTCACTTTTCTTTGTTGTCCTCTCACATTGGGTCCAGTCTGGTACAGGCAGCCCCCTGAGGCCCTGCCCTGCTGCAGGCACCTGGTTTAGTGCTGAGAGCGTGCAACAGGGAGGGGTGAGGTGGGCACGCCTTCGCCCGGGGTTTTCCATCCAGAACATCTGGGATTGTCCGCTGTCACACGGAGATTCCAGGGAGGCTGGCAGCCAGGAGGCTCTTGACTGGGGCAGCAGGAATGATCTTGAGTCTCTGTCCACATTTCCCAGCCAAGCCTGATCAGCTCCTCCATGTTAACTGTGGGGGTCTCGGTGCTGTCAGGATTAAGAGAAACAGGCTTTTAAACACAAAGGAAAATTAAAAAGGGAACATAAAGTCCATAATTCTAATGTCTAAATGATCCTCGATGTGTTTTTGTCAGAAGCTAGTATGAGTGCAGGATTAGAAATTTGAAACCAAAACAGAAAGGTAAAGAAATGAAAAAATTGTACGTGGACCACCTGCCTTCTTTTTCCCCCAAAGATGAAACCCCAAGATACTCTTAGGCAGCTTTCTAGGGAGAGCTGTTCACAGCATCACGCGTAGCTTTTGAAAACCTTTACCTGAAGGGGACCCCACTGTGTTCCCTGCTCTTGCTTTCTCATCCCGATGCCGGTCCTGTGTTGGTGTCCGTAGGTACCAAAGGCCTCAGTCTCTCTATCATTTACGTGGATTCCCATTCTATGGACAGGCCATAATTACCTAACCACTCCCCTCTTGATGGACATTTAGGTTATTTCCAGCTGTTTACTGGGTAGGTTGCATTTTAAAAGTTTGAAATTTCCCCAGTAAGCATGTCTTCCCAACACCTGATCGTCGAGAAAAGCAGATCCCTTTGGAAAGTTTTAAACTTTATTTTCACAGTTGACTCTTTTCTTTTCCTTTCTTTGCTTTGCTTTGCTTTGCTTTGCTTTTTAAGGAGGCAGGGAAGGGAAGGTGACTCTCATACGTTGGATGCATACTACAGGAACTTTGCGTCTGTGACTATGTTTAGTTCTAGAAGGCCACGAGTACTTGCCCTGTGATTTAGACAAGGACTCTGATGTTCAGAGTCGACCCCTAGCTCATGATAGCCTTCAGCCGGGGTTGCACGGCTCTGACCGGCCCTGGGCCTTGCACACCGTTTCACTCACCTCGTTCTGCCATTTCCGTGCATCCAAGTTCATACACAGCTCAAGGGGAAGTTTCTCTATCCACCCATGTGAATTTTTTTTTTTACATTTTTTTTTAACGTTTGTTTATTATTGAAAGACAGAGAGAGTCAGAGCGTGAGCAGGGGAGGTCAGAGGGAGAGGGAGACACCGAATCCGAGGCAGGCTCCAGGCTCCAAGCCGTCGGCACAGAGCCCGACACGGCGCTCGAACTCACAGACCGCGAGATCATGATCTGAGCCGAAGTCGGACGCTCAACCGACTGAGCCACCCAGGCGCCCCCATCCATGCAAATTTTTGCTTGGATCTTCTAACTGGGTGGTATTTTGCTCTGCATTGAGTCTCAGGTCTCTGTTTCAGAAAGCTTTGTGTATGGCATGCTCTAAGATTCAGTGGGAGTAGGTGGTGATCAGAGGAAGCAGGCATTTTATCTTGGGACCCTGTTTCCCTGGGCTCGAGTCCTTCAGCAGGAGATGGGGGGGGTGTCTAGAGCTGTGTTCGATCATACAGCATCCTAAGTGGGCGCTGATGGATGCCGTCTGTCAAGGGGTGCATGCTCGGAGTGCTGCCACCTCTGGGCTCTTGGCCGTTGGCATCTGTAACGTGCTCTCTGGGTTTCCTGGACAGGAGGATCATGTCTCAATTTATCTGTCATTTTTGTGGATGAATAATCCAAAGTGAGTAAATAAAAATGAATGTTTAGATTTAGATGCTAATTCGGCTTTCTGTTAGGTTCTGCCTTGAGTGTTATTGAAATTAATCTTGAGTGTTCCTTGAGCACATCCCGCTTAGTGTTGGCAAGGTACGGTGGGCCTCAGAGTACAGTTGATGGTTGTTTGGGGTACAGTCAGAAGATGGATAAACCACATCAAGATAATAGAAACGTTCTCCTTAAAACGTTTTCCCTTTTTAAAGACAAAATGACGTCTGGACGTCGTGCATACCCCAAAAAGAGAAAAGCGCTTCATTCAGAATCCTGCCCCAAACCGATGAGTTTTCTTTTGTCTTGGTTCCTTTCTAGACATGGTCCATTTGCAGGTAACCACTTTCTGAGGGGTACTGAGTATGCAACAGAGTTTGAGCTCCTGGCGAGGCACCCTTCTTTCGGGAGGAGCTTGGGCTGTGGGGATTGGGCAAGCTTCGATTTGAAATCTGACTCTTGGCTCAGGAGCTGAATGACAGTGGGCAAGTTACTTAGCCTTTCAGAGCCTCTATTTTTCTCATCTATAAAATGGGAGGCGCGTCCCTGTATCTCATGTCTGTTTCTCAGACAGATGAGTGACCTTTGAGAAGCACAGAGCCAGTGTTGGTAATGTATAGAGTTTCTGACTTAGGACGGTGGGTCGGTAGTAAATGGCAGCTGGTGCTATCGTTTTGATTATTTAACAACGATGGGGTTAATGATAGTCGTAATGACGAAGCAGGAGGCAGCATTTTTTGTTTCGGAACCGCATTTCTTGGGGCAGCAGCTCTCGGGCAGCCGGACCATAGCATCCGGCGAGGTTCCGAGGTTCACATCCGTCTCTTGATTTCCCTAGGCCAAGCCCAGCATTCGGTGCTTCATTAAACCCACCGAGACGCTAGAGCGGTCCCTTGAGATGAATAAGCACAAGGGCAAGAGGCGGGTGCAAAAGAGACCCAACTACAAAAACGTTGGGGAGGAAGAAGATGAGGAGAAGGGGCCCGTCGAGGACGCCCAGGAAGACGCCGAGAAGGCTAAAGGTACTGAGGGTGGTTCAAAAGGCACCAAGACGAGTGGGGACAGTGAAGGTGAGTGCCCCCCTGAACGCCACCCTGCGCCCGCGCTGCGAGCCAGGCAGCCGTCTGTGTCTGGTCCCCGTCGTGTGTCCGTTCCCCACGCCGGTGTACCTCATTCTACGGGCCCAGCCATTCGCAGGCAGCTGCGGGCAGGTCCACCGCGAGGCCTGCCCTCATGGGGCGGAGGACCCGGGGCAAGGTTCTTATTCGCCCCCCGGGCCCGCTCCCCTGTGGGTAAACACAGGGGAGCAGACCGTATTTACTTGGCTTTGACGGTGGGGACATGGTGAGCACGTGTGCCGCGCCCAGAATGGCGCCCGGCCCGCATCCTCCGTGTTTGCTGCAGCGGCTGCTATTTCTGCTACGAGTGCCATCCTGTTTATTGGGGTTCTTCTTGCTCCCCATAACCCGCAGTGAGGAGTTTTGACACAAGTCATTCTTCCCAGCGCACTGCAGGAAGCAAGCCGCGTTTCGTGAAATTATATCCATTTGATGAGATCACGTTGTTTTGGAACCGAATAATCCAGTATCATCCCCTAGAGTCTCACATTGAGATTTGTTCAAAGTCCTGTGTAGGGTGAGGTACACTTGTGTGTGGTGCACATGTGTTCAGTAAGCAGAATCATTCCTCCCTCTTTTGGCCCCTGCTGGGGATGATTCTGGTTTGATTTCCACCTTCTTCTCGTTCAAATGCTAACACCTTCTCAGTCTGGAGAGCACCGTCTGCTCTGGAACTGAGCAAGCTTCAGCTGTGGAGTCTCTTGTGTCATGGGCCGGGCGCACAGCCACGCAGATGGGGGTCTCTGGCCACGGCCGTGGGCGCTCAGGGTGGGGGTGGGGTAGATGTGGGGCGGGGGCTCGGCTCTGGACGTGAGCTCCCACCACGCTCCTGGGACAGACATGGGCCGTCGCCAGCGCCCACCGTGGGCCGTCCTCCTGGGTCCTGGGCTGGTCCTGGCTGCTCCCAAGCCAACTGTCCTTGGCCCATCAGCCTGGACTGTGTGATTCCCTAATCAAGGTCATCTGAAGCTGGAAAACGGAGCAGAGCAGCTCAGTAAATCACTGACTGGGAACTCATTTGTTTTGGGGAGTTTGCTGCGTTTATGGAGCCAAAACCCGCCCCCGTCCCCACCCTGCGGGCCCCATTCTGATTTTCTTGGCAGTTCTCAGTGAATGCCACGATCACATTCCGATAAGTATAAGCAAAGCGTCTCTCCAGTGCCACCCTGCTCTCTCTTCAAGGCTGAGATCCCAGCATGCTTTTATTTCTGTGTAAAGTATACAGTAAGCATTTTGGCGTCAGAAGTCACTTTTGGCTCACAAACAGAATCACTTTGGTGGGGAGGTGAGGGGCAAACGCAAGGTAAGCAAGCCGTCCTAGTTTGCTTATTGGGATCTTTTTTTTTTTTTTTTTAAACTCAGGAGAAAACTGCTTCAGCGCTGGGGTTTAGCTGTCCTGTGGCCACAGTGGGGAAAAGGAGGAGGATTTCACCCCATTTTCCCATTTTGCACTCTGTGTTCCTGTCGATTTTGTTTTGGAAGGATGCTACCTCTTTCATTCCAGTCCTTTTAAGGGCTGCTCTCTAACCAGGCCTGGCCATGACTAACCCTGGTGTGGACAGGGCAGGCTTGGCGGTGAGCACCGTCAAGTGAGTCAGCGGGCGGCCCGGTCCCGGCGTGCGGAGCTCCGGCGGCTCGGCAAGGCTACCGTTCCAGCTCACCGCTGGGATCGGGGTCACGACTCCCCAGATGCCGAGCCGGCCCGCCCTGTGTGGGGGGCAAGCGGAGAAATGTTCACAGGTCTCCAGAAGCCCGTTTTCTGGGTGGTTACTTGGTGGGGCTGTACCAGACGGGGCCCAGGAATTTTCCCAGAGGCTTTACTTGGACACTTGATGGTGACATTAGAGTTTGGTCGACCATGGCTCCCAGCAGCCCTCTTGGCGTTTTGGTGCCCTCCTCTATTTTCCCGGATATACATTAGTCATTCCAAAATATTACGGACCTGTCATCTTCCCCCACAGCTCACCGTAAATAAACACGAGTCTCTCAGGCCCGTCCGTCCAGCAGAGGCACCTAACTGGGCTGCGGCAGCTGTCACGTGAATGGTGTACCCGATCTCTTAGTTATTCTCAGGTTTAAGGTGCAGCTGGGGGCGTTCTCTCCTTAGACTGTGTTTGGATGAAACCATTCGTGACCTGGAAGGGTGTTAGGCATGGTGTTGATGCGGGGGGTTGCCAGGAGATGGGGTACTGGCCTTGCAGTCGTGTCTCGGTTTCCTGGGAGCCTTGAGTGGTCTCCCAACTCAAACCGTGCCTCAGTTTCCCCATCTGGAAATTGAGTATAAAAAATGTAATTCGTGGGGTGCTTTTTTTTTTTCTTTTTTAAATGAGTATATGTTAGGAGTCTTGTGGTTGTAAGAGTTGGAGGAAATTCAACTCGAACTGGCTTCAACAAAAGGGTGATTATTGTTCCCAGAACTGGAAGGCTTGGGCGGGGCTGGCCTCAGGTGCAGAGATGACCACGGGCAGTGCCAGGCTTGCATCCTGCCAGCTCACCACCAAGCAGAGAAGGAGCTGAAGGCTAGGGGCCAATGCTTGGTGACACCGAGGGGCCTGGCTGGCCCACTGCTGTAGAGGGGCGGTCTGTGCGGATTGGCTGGGCTTGGGTCATGTGTTGACCCCACAGTGACACCCTCGGTGAGAAATAGGGTGTGTTTGTCAGAAGAAGGGGTCATGCGTGCTGGGCCCGCGGAAGCAGCAGACGCTCCACTAGAAAGCCACAGCGCTCCTGTGTGCCCCTCATCCCCCTCCTGGCTGTCTTCTCCCTCACTGTTTGGGGTGGATCTGTGGCTAGTTTGTCCTCCAAATTGTTTTTTCTCTAGCAAGCTTCTTGCCTTGCCCCTGGATCTAGGGGTTCGTGGACCTCCCGGTTGTAACGAGCAGGCAGGGGTGACTTTGAAAAAGGAGATGGTGGTACCAGCTCCCCCTGCACAGCCTGCCACCCCCACGTTAGTGGGGGGTCTTCAAAAGGCAGCATCAGGCACAGGCAGACAAAGGCATATGGTCATGAGTCGGTCGCAGTTCTGCCTTGACCTGATTTAAATGTGGCATTAACGTGCTCTTTTTCTACAAACGCAACCAGAATTCACACGTCCTCCACATTTAAGCCCAGACAAGGAAGTAGGGTGAAATGAATGTGGACCTTCCACTCAGCCTCAGGTCCCAAATGACGGGTGACTCATTCTGAAACCAGAAAATCACAGGGCCCCTCAATCTGCAGCAGTTGCACACCGAAAGGAAAAAGACGGGTGCCCTAGTCCCTGTAGTCAAAGAAGCGTTCACTCGATGCTCGCTGTGTCCCAGATGTCTCATCGGTCTGAAAGGATAGTCCTCTCTTTCTGGAGTCACTTGCAACAGTAGCTTAGTAAACAGACCCCAAGCACGAAAATGAATTGTTTGAACTTCTCGTTTGAAAAATAGGGTTTAGCTTTTGTTTTTTTTGTCCCATGGAAAAAGTAGGCACCAACCGCGTGGCCTGACCTTCAAAACCTACTCTTTTCTTAAATCGCAGCAGGGGCTTGGAATGAAGGGGACGACACTGACTTTGAACTTGCCAGGTCAGCTGGCAGTTGAGGGGTGCCTGGAAGTTTGGAATCCCGGCTTTGCTTTTTTTTTTTTTTTTTTAATTAAAAAAATTTTTTTGAACGTTCATTTATTTTTGGGAGAGAATTAGAACGAGAGCAGGGGAGGGGCAGAGAGAGACGGAGACGGAGAATCTGAAGCAGGATCCAGGCTCTGCAGTGACAGCACAGAGCCCGACGCGGGGCTCGAACCCATGAACCGTGAGATCATAACCTGAGCTGAAGTCAAAATGCTCCACTGACTGAGCCACCCAGGTGCCCCCCCCAGCTTTGTGTTTTGTTTTGTTTTGTTTTGTTTTGTTTTGTTTTGTTTTGTTTTG